GGCACGGCTCTGTGGGTCTCACTCACTGATAATGGCCAATAGACGGTCGAGAAAGCTCTGAATGTCATGCCGATGTTGACATGTTTTGCTGACCAACAGAGGAATGGCTGAAGTAGAGTTAAGGAAAATTATATTTTAACTACTGGTCATTAATATCTCTTGGCTACTGTAAAGGTTGACAACAGGTGTAACAGCTTTTTCGCTGTTGCTACTGCCTGAAAAATGAGGCAGTTACTAAAAATAGTTTACCTTCTTGTTCACATTCACCCAGCCTCTTTTGTGTTGTGACGAGCGAGTGAAAAGTCATTTTTGTCGCGAGAATGCAGTTTTAACTTCCGCGTTTGGAACTAATAATAATAATAATAATAATAAAAACGAAATCCCAGAAATGTGGCACATGGGAACATCAACAAACCCTGTAGTTGGAGCCTTCGGATTGTTTGGAAAAGATTCCAGTAGACTCATTGAAGGGATTCCTGGAAGACCATGCCTTAAAGAAATACAAAAAATATTCTCACGAGTACAGCCCACAACTTAAGAAGGGCTTTATCTATGTAAAACATGTGTGTGCATGTTTCTTTTTTTTAATTTGTCGGTGGAAAATGTCTTGAAGCCATTTCAATCCTTAAGTCTCTGGTCGGGACCCGGAAAGAAATGTGTACACACCAGAAATCAAAGGAGATAATAATAATAATAATAATAATAATAATAATAATAATAATAATAATAAAGAAAGCAGAAGCAAATGAAATCAACCAGATACAGAAACAATGGCAAGATAAACAGCTTCATGGCCAATACTCTGCCCGTACCAAAAAAGCTGACGTAGACAAAACCTGTACCCATCAGTGGCTACGTAGTGCAAGGTTAAAAGCTGAAACTGAAGGTTTTTATACTTGCTACACAGGATCAGTGCTTGTTAACTCGAAATTATCAAGCACATATACTAAAATATAGTGTTAGCCCAGAATGCAGGTTTTGTCATAATTACCCAGAACCAATTGATCATCTTGTATCAGGTTGCACGGCATTGGCAACCATTGAATATAAAATCCGGCATGACAGAGTGGGCCAATATCTGCACTGGAAAATTTGCAACTTCGACGGGAAGGAAACTGAAAGAAACTGGTATGAACACCACCCAGACCCGGTTACGAAGATAGGCCCTGTTACAATTCTATGGGACTATACAATACACACTGACAGAACAATCAAAGCCAACCGTCCAGATATTGTTATTAAAGACCACAAACAAAAAGTGCCTCCTTATTGATATGGCGGTACCTGCAGACTGTAATATATCTTTGAAGATCTTCAAAACGCTGTCAAAATACAAGGACTTTGAAATCGAAATCTCAAAAATGTGGCACATGGGAACATCAACAATCCCTGTTGTAGTTGGGACCCTCGAATTGGTTGGAAAAGATTGCAGTAGACTAATTGAAGGGATTCCTGGAAGCACATGCCTTAAAGAAATACAAAAAAATTGTTCTCACGAGTACATCCCACATTTTACGAAGGGCTTTATCTATGTAATTTTTTTTTTTTTTTTTGTCAGTGGAAAGTACCATGATGCCATTTCTAACCTTAGGTCTGTGGGCGGAACCCGGAAAGAAATGTGTAAAAAAGCAGAAATCAAAGGAAATAATAATAATAATAATAATAATAATAATAATAATAATAAACCTACAGCAATCGGTTTTGAAAGATATCTAGAAACTACAGAAGAATAGATGAATATTTGTGTCAAACAACATGAAAGAAATACGAGAATTTATTTCGTAATAAAGGAGGCCAACAGATTCAAAGAATAAAGAATGAAAAAGGACAAGTAAACATGATACACTCATTGGAGCGGCAAAGAGCCTGAAAAGAAGAAGAAAAAACACAACTCTTATGAGCCGAATGCTGAAACAATGGCAAGATAAACCTCTTCTTAGCCAAATATCTGCCCGTGCCAAACCCCAGTGTTTACGTAGTGCATGATTAAAGGCTGAAACCGAAGGTTTTATTCTTGCTGGACATGAGAAATACATGCTAACTAGAAGTTACCAATCACAAATACTGAAAAGTTGTGTGAAACCCGAAATGTACAAGGTTTTCCGGAATTTGCATCCACCGGATATAAAACTTAGGGTGGGTCAATATCTACACTGGAAAATAGGCAAATTTTTAAGTGCAAGAAATAGGTATGAACACCACCCAAACCCGATTACAGACCTATAACAATTTTTATTTTTTGCAATACACACAGAACAATCAAAGCTCATCGCCCAGACATTGTGATCAAAGACCACAAAAATAGAATGTGCTTTCTTATTGACATAAGTCCGAAAATTATTTTAATATATTTTCTGTTTCAGGCCGGTAAATTTAATTAATATTGTTTATTATAAACAGAACATTTACTTAAATAATTGTATCTATAAAAAATAACAAATAAACAGAAAATATATTAATATTCTTAACAACACAAATATAATAACATCATCTACATCCAAAAAAAGGCTAAAAAAATGGGAGCGTTATTAATAAAAAAAAAAAAAAGGACAGCACCTTATATTAACTATCAACATAGACATAATATCGTGACCATGTTTTGAAAAATGAAAACATTATATAAATACATACATGCAACAAACTATTTCTTATTTAACAGTTAAAATATCTCATCCTTGAAAATTGCTAAATGCATAGTCGAAAGCGCTCGGCTAAAAAAAAAATAAAAACATTTGGACAGTTTTTATATAGTTTATCAACTGAAAAAAAAATAGATCATAGAGAGAAATATGGAAAGAGAGCGATTGATAATACATACATGGAAAAAAATGCACATGAACAGATAGATAGATTGATTTTTCTGCAGGCTGTAATGTATCTCTGAAGATCTTAAAAAACTCTCAAAATACAAGGATATTGTAGTGAAAATCTAAATAATGTAGCACATAAAGAAATCAATAATTTCAGTTGAGGTTGGAGCCCTTGATTTGATTGGTAAAAATTCTATCGATACATTGAAAGGAACCATGATAGCCCATGTCTTAAAGAAAAAGAAATATAATAATTTTACAAGTACAGCTCACACTTTAGGACGGGCTTTATCAATGTAAAATCTGTGTGCTATTCAGTACAAAAATGTTTAGTGAAAATGTCATGGAACGATTTCTAACCTGATGTGTCTCGCTGTGAACCTGAAGGAAATGGATATACACCAGATTGAGGAATCGGTAGAGCCGAGTTCGAATTCTAATCGAATCCATTACGTTCACTTACGTGCTAATACCCTTGGGAAAAGTATGAATCCTATCCTTCTCCTCCAGCTATGGGTAAATAGTAAGACAGACCAGGGTTTATAGACTTGGATGGCAATTGGTCTATCGCAGAAAGATATGACAACCTACTGCGGGAAAAATCTCCCTCGTCAGTCATGTATCGAAAAGATACATGATCGCTTAAGCACATAACTGACTGATTTTTATTTTATAACTAGTATTGCTTCATCAATGGTGCCTTTTAGATTAATGATTTCTATTATTCCTTATAGTTCGAAACATTTTCTGCCAATTTCTGACCTGATGTGTTTCGTTGTGAACCTGAAGTAAATGGATATACACTAGAAATCAAAGAAATGATAATAATAAAAATAATTGCTTGTTACGAATATCTTCGTCTCCAAGAATGGCTAGCAAATCCCTGTTGCATACACTTGCTGAGACATATTTGTTTTATTCAACACACACAGAGCCAAATTGCTGTTAATAATAAAACTATAGATATCTAGCCCATGTTTCAGATTCAAAGAGCCAACCAGCGGTTTACACTGCAACTATACTAAGCCGGGGAGTGCATGCAATCTAGTGTGATCACCATTTTGAACAATGCCATATATGATCGAACCTCTAGTAAAGATAATTTGTGAATTCGTGCTAACGAAAAAAATCGACGGTTACGGATCAGCTTCATCTCTTCGATTTCACTGAAAAACATGTTTTTCAGGCACTTACCAACCTTAGGATCCTGATCTCTAGGATCGACTCATATTGAGAAAGGTGAGATTCGAACACAAGTCTCTTGATTACGGAATCAGTAGAGATAACAAGTCGGTTGGTTGTTTGTGTTTAGCGGTATATCAACATCTATGGGCTATTTAATGTCGAAATGTAAATGCTTTTGTTGTGGCCAGAAATAAAGACATATGAGAGGAAATGAGTTAAATGTATTAACAGAGAACAGTAATATAAATGAGACTGTTACAGCAAGAATATTCGGTCTGACTATCAAAGCTGACTGCTGGAACCTACCCTCCTCTAAAAAGCAATACATGCTGTTATTTATAGCTGGGAGAGTTCATGCGTGCATGGGTAAATGTTTTGGTATGCTCCCTCTAATGAGGCTATTGTGAACTCTTCCACTTACTATAAAGTTAGTAGGAAAAGTAAGCCTCGGGGGAATAAGTGATATAGACTGTTCTACTGAGGCTGTGACTGTTCGCAGCTCCTTTCGAACTCTCTGCTTTGGGCAGAGAGGAACCCAGACGAGGCTGTGCCGAAGTGCAGAGTCTCGTCCGGGGAGGTAAACAGACCCGAACCCGTTTATGCGGGTTCTACGGGTATTTTTTGGCCTAGCCTGCAGGCTCGGGCGAGCCACGTTAAACTCGATCTTGTGCCACATGTACCCTCGTTCTACTAAATATCAACGGTGATATAGACTGAACGCTGGTCAACCGACACACATTCCCAAGTCAGGTAACACTCTTCTGTCGCATTTACTGTTCAATACACGTTTTATCTGCAACCTATTGTTTTGTTATTCCTTAACCAATTACTTGGTCACTAAAGTAAATCGCCATAACTGGGGGGGGGGAGAGAAGAGGTGGATTCATAGCTTTCCCAAAGGTATTTACGCATAAGGGAATATAACGACCCCAACAGGAATTGGAACTCGACTGTCCGGTTAACAATTCTGAAACTTTATCCATTACCCCATCTGCACATCCAAACTTACAGCCCCTCCTATTCTCAAGCGGTCACCCATTTCCGGTATTTACCACGCTCGACGTTGCTTAACTTCGGTGATCGTACGGGAAATGATGTTTCAACGTGATCTGAGTGTAAGCTGTAGAGAGATAACAGGGAAATAAATATAAGAAAAGGAACTCGAGGCAAAATAAATGCGAGGGAAATATGAACACAAAACGCGAAAAAGAAATAAAACTGAAAATGCGTAATAAAAATGAGAAGAAAAAAGATGATAAACATGGCAAGATTTGAAGACATAGGAAGAATTTTAGATGTACTTGACTTGCAACCCACGTGGATAAACATCAATTAGCTGCATTGAAACAAACCTCGGGAAGGTACCAAATACAGGTATACTTCACCCTACTTCGTTAATTGGTTCCAAAGGTAACAACTTAAATCGAAAACCGCAAATGAGCACTCCACCATTGCTTATTACTGTATGTACATGGCCAATACTCTGCCCGTACCAAACAAGCTGACGTAGCAAAGCCCCGTAGCCGTCAGTGGCTAAATTAAAGTGTTCTAAATAAAATAATTAATTTCAACCTTATCTTCCAGCGATATAGACTTACGCTTAGCATTAGCTCTTGCACTGGGACTTTTCTTCGGAGCCATGGGCAAAAATATATTCTAACTCATAATGTAAAGAAGTCTTAATTCAAAATCGGTGTTGGAGTAGAAAACAACGCACGAGTGTCACCTGTCGACAGGAATTTGAAATAAGAACATCTACTGAACATACTTTATTACGCTATTTTTTTGATGATTTTGCAGATAGATATATATATATATATATATATATATATATATATATATATAGTATGAATTTTTTTTTAATTTATTTACATATGATGTGTTTATTGATATTTTAGTGTTTTGACGTTTCTAATATTTTTTTAACGGCCGACGCAAATTCGAGTAAAATGACCTAAGATGAGTTTTTTTTTCATATAATATTTAAGAAAAACCGACGTATCTTCGAAAATGACTTAACTCGAAACGACTTAAGTCGAGGTATCATTGTATATGATCAAGACATTAAAGGTAATATGGAAAATCTTAATATAATTCTGCTTATTCCAAACTTAGTTACTTAGTGACACTCCTAATATCTAATAATGGACTGTTCTGTTATGATCGTGTGGAAAGACAGAAAAGACATATCAGAGATGCGGCTTTCTTTTAGCGAGAAAAAGAAAGAAACATTTGATCTATATCAATTTCAGCTGCTTTTCTTCAGCATGACACTTCTTCTTCTTCTTCTTCTTCTTCTTCTTCTTCTTCCACCTCCATGTGGGGTTTCTCTTTAGGAGATAGGCGATCATGGCTCTCTACAATTTTTCTGTCCTTTGTAGCTCTTAAGAAATTTTGTCTTTTACAATCTATTTACTTAAGCTCAATAGGAGTAGGTAGACCCTCCTACCGCCCGGTCAACACTCCTCCCCCTTCCCCTGGACAAGCGCAGAGGCTCACACCTTGTTTCCTGTCTAAGAAGGGGTTCCCGGCACTTTTCTCTCTCTCTGGCCTCTGTACGAGTACTGATGTGTTTCTCCCGTGACGTGCGCAGTCTGTGGCATTGCCTCTTCATTTTGAGGGTACACGGTTGACAGTTTACTGGTTGCTGTTTCCGACTGGTAGTTAGGAGCCCTAACTCTTGCGTAGCGTCTTGAGCGGCCGCTCTGATCAACAGTTGTATAATACCGGGGTGTTTGTAGTGCCATGACGCGCATGGATCGGTGTCCCTGCAGTCACCTCCGGTGGGCAACCCTGAGGCCACACTATGATGCAGGCTGTGCCAACTCCTCGCTGCTCACGTTGCGGTCGATAACCATCTGCTACTCTATACCTCAGGCCTTCTCATCTTCCAACAATCACTAATCATGAAGACTCGATTGAATCAAAAACGTAAAACTAAACCAGCCCCGCAAAAATCACCTAAACCCCTTAACATTTCGTTCGCCAATATCCGTGGCATTAGAACAAACTTCTGCAGTTTGGAATCTTTCCTCACTGCAAACTGCCCGGATATACTGGCTCTGTGTGAGACAAACCTTGTCTCGTCTATTCCCTCCTCTGATCTCTCGATCCCTGGCTACCTTCCTCTCCTCAGGAAAGACTCTCTAACCCACATGCACGGCCTTGGTGTCTACGTCAAGGACCATCTCCCCCTGGCCAGAGAGCTGTCTCTCGAATCGCCAGACCTGTCGTACATGTGTCTCCGACTATCTCTCCTCAATGCCGTAAGCTATCTCTTCTTCCTCTATCGCTCTCCATCCTCTCAAGACTGTCGGATACTTGATAGCATATCTGACAGCATAGACAAGGCCCTCTCTCTCCACCCGTTTGCTCATATATTCGTGTTTGGTGACTTTAATGCCCATCACACCAAGTGGCTCGTGAATGCTACTACTGACCGGGCTGGCATTCAAACATTTTTTCTCAATTTCTCAATCCCTCACGCAGATAGTCGACTTCCCCACGCGTTTTGCCCTCGACCTGGCAGGCAAGGCTTCTCTTCTTGACCTGTGTTTTACCTCCATCCCCGAATCTTGTAGCGCCACACAGCTCTGCCCGCTTGGCAACTCTGATCACGCTGTGGTATCTGTCAACGTTTCCTTCAACTCCACGCCCTGCAAAGAACCTCCCATCACAAGAACCTCGTTCTACTATCAACGAGCGGATTGGGACTCGTTCCGTGACTTCCTCCGCGATGTCCCCTGGGATGTTGTCTTTTCACTCCCTGTCCAAGAATGTGCTTCTGAGGTCTCATCCTGGGTTAAAGCTGGAATCGACGCTTTCATCCCCTCAAGGAAATTTAAGGTCAAGTCGCACTCCTCCCCTTGGTTCTCCGCTGCTTGCTCATCTGCCATCGCCCACAGGAATCACTTCTTTCACCGATTCCGTAGCGACATGTCTGACTGCAATAGACGTCTCTTTGCCTCTGCCCGTAACGAGTGTAAGCGTGTCCTCAACGAAGCTAAGTCAATATTTGCTGCTCGAATGAAGGAACGTATTGCATCTCACAAGTTTGGCTCCAAAGATTACTGGCGAGTCTGCAAGAGTGTCCTGAATAATCGAAAACCCTCCATACCTCCTTTATTCAACCAGTTCGAGGTCTTGACCTCCCCCTACCGACAAGGCTGAATGCTTTGCTCGGAAATTCTCATTTAATTCAACGCTCGATTCCACCGGTGTTCCCATACCAGACTTCCCTCTTAGAACTGAGGCCTTACTGAGCGGCTTACACATAACCCCGTCATTGGTACTGGGCATTATCTCCACTTTAGACCCCCACAAGGCTAGTGGTGGAGACGGCATACCAGCCATTGTCCTGAAGAAATGCGCGCCTGAGCTAGCACCCGCCCTCTCTAAACTGTATAATTACTGCCTCAAGGAATCATGTTTTCCTGACTGCTGGAAGTCCTCATCCATTGTTCCTGTGTTTAAGAACTCTGGAGACCCCTCTGACCCCACTAATTACCGTCCTATTAGTCTCCTACCCCTGTTCGGCAAAGTCTTCGAAGCCCTAATCAATGCCGAAGTGGTTAATCACCTCACATCCCATAATCTGCTCTCAGACAAGCAATATGGTTTCCGCTTTACGCCAGATCTACAGCTGATGTGCTTACGGCCATCACTGAAACCGTCTACCAAGCCCTTCAAAATAACGGTGAGGCTCGTGCTGTGGCCCTCGACATCTCCAAAGCATTCGATAGGGTTTGGCACGCCGGGCTTCTTCGTAAGCTCCAGGGTTATGGTGTTACTGGTCAACTGTTTGATCTAATACAATCATTCCTGTCTAACCGAGAATTGAAGGTCGTTCTCAACGGATTCTCCTCCAGCTCCTATCCCATTAACGCAGGTGTGCCCCAAGGCTCCATCCTTGGCCCCACTCTTTTCCTCATTTTCATCAACGACCTTCCTGAAGCTATAGATTCCCAGGTCGGCATCTATGCAGACGACACTACAATTTACTCCTGCCTCAAAAACAAGTCTAGTGTCGGCGACAAAACTAACCTGGCCGTGCGTCTTGAAATGGACCTCCAATCAGTTGTTAACTGGGGCAAGAATTGGCTGGTCAACTTTAACGCCACTAAAACTAAATTACTCTCCATTAACCACCATAGAGATCCTTCCCTCCCCCCCCATTAAAATGTCTGATAGTCAACTTCCTGAGAGCAACTCCCTGCGTCTGCTCGGTCTCACGCTGACTGCTGACCTGAGATGAAACAAATACATTGAGTCAATTGCTTCTTCCACCGCGAGGAAAGTTGGCTCTCTGTGCCGAGCCAGGAAATTTTTTTCCCCTGAATCGATACTTCAAATATATAAAACAACCATTCGCCCTTGCATGGAGTATTGCTGCCATATATGGGCTGGAGCACCTTCTGCTTACCTCGGAGTTCTTGACAAGATCCAGAGAAGGATATGTAATCTAATTGGCCCAGATCTAGCGTCTTGCTTACAGTCACTCTCTCACAGACGCGCCGTCGCCTCTCTCTGTCTTTTCTACAAATACTTCCATGGTAACTGCTCTGATGAGCTGCTTTCTCTGGTTCCCAGACTCCATGAATTCAAGCGCCCTACGAGGCTGGCATCACGCTCTCACCCTTACACCGTAGAAACCTTCAAATGTAGCCGTCTCTTCTACTCCAATAGCTTCATACCTCGCACCTCTCGCCAGTGGAACACCCTCCCCAATTACTGTTTCCCCTGAAAGCTATAATCTCCAACTATTCAAATGTAATGTCAATCGACATCTCCAGTTACCTTGATCTACCCACTATCCTTCTCCTCTTCCTTTCTCCTATCACTCTTATCTGCTCTCGCTCCAAACCTTCCCCCCTGCATCCTAGTGGCTTCACGCCTTGCTTGGGGCACAATGCTTAAAAAAAAAAAAAAAAAAAAAAAATATATATATATATTTATTTGACCCTCTTGTATTCAGTCTTGTGAGTGTCAAATTTTCCAAGCCCTCTTTTCTCATTACGTTCTCTTGAAATTTCAACTTCTCTTCCTGTATAAATGTCCTTTCTGTTTCCATTTAAAACTTCGTTGTTGCTCACATGTTCGGTCCATCGTTTTTA